GTTATTATCTGCTTTCCCAGCTATTTTTTTAAGGTATTGGCCATGTAGTGCTTTGTCTTCCCATGCCTTTATTCTTTCGTCATTTGGTTTTTCTTGTAGACCAGTTTGGTCTCTCCAGTAGTCAGTAAGCCTTCCTGATATACTAATTTCAGTGCATCTTCATCATTGTTCTTCAGATATTCTTCCAAAGCCATTTTTTCTTCTTCAACCATCTGATGTACTTGTAGCATTCCACGCCCACCTATTTGCCTTGGTAAATAAAGTCTATCAATGTCACTGCGTGGATGAAGGTCATGATTCATTGTCATTATTTTTCTGGTCTGCCTATCCATTGCTTTTAGTTCTGCTTGAGTCCAGTCCACTATTCCAGCTGTGTACCTAATGACTGGGATTGCCCAGGTGTTGATTGCCTTTATGGTATTTCCTCCATTGAGTTTGGACTTTAAGATCTTCTTCACTCTCTTGATGTATTCACCTCTAATCTTTTTCTTGACTTCAGTGTGCTTGATGTTGTCAGCTTGAAGGATACCCAAGTATTTGTAGTAATCTTCCTCATCCAGACTCTTAATGTTATTTTCGTGGGGCATCTTGATTCCTTCAGTTTTCACTATTTTTCCTTGTTTGATAGTAAGTGTGGCACATTTGTCCAAGCCAAACTCCATTACAATATCTTGGCTATATATACGGACAGTGTTGAGCAGCGATTCTATTTCAGATGATGTTTTTCCATACAGCTTCAGATCATCCATGTAAAGGAGGTGGGATAGTCTGGTAGATGTTTTTGATGTTTGATAGCCATGTCCTGAGTTATTCAGTATTGTTGACAGAGGAAACAGTGCAATAACAAATAGTAATGGTGATAATGAATCTCCTTGAAATATTCCTCTCTTGATATTAACCTCTCCCAGTCTCTCACCATTGATCTGCAACTGTGTCTTCCATTGTGCCATCGATCTTTGCACAAATTTTCTGATGTTTCTACTGACTCCTGTTATTTCTAGGCACTTTATTATCCAGTCATGTGGCAGAGAGTCAAATGCCTTTTTGTAGTCAATCCATGCCACATTCAGGTTGGTCTTCCTTTTCTTGCAGTTTTCCAAGATCATTTTGTCTATTAGGAGTTGATCTTTTGTTCCTCTGCTATGGGGCGGTTTCCTTTCTGCTCAGGTGGAAAGAGATTGTTTTCAACTAGATGCTGTTGTACTGCATCAGCTACCACACCAGTTAGTAATTTGAAAGTTGTTGGTAAACAGGTAATTGGCCTGTAGTTGCCTGGTGATGCCCCTTTTGCTGGATTTTCATTATTAGGTAGGTTTTCCCAGTTGTTAGCCACTTTTCAATTTCTCCTCCTTGTAGATGACTTCCAAGGTCCCTTCCATCATCATCATCATCATCATCATCATCATTATTATTACTATTATTATTATTATTATTATTATTATTATTATTATTATTAAATATTTAAAGTAGATAGCAGGACATTTAGAACTGAGCAGCATAAGAATTTGAAGTTGAACTATGTACAAATCATGGGCTTATAAATACTAAAATATATAAACTTTGATTGAAACTTGAAACAGAAAAAGAACAAGTGAAAGACTATGATAAATGGACTAAGAACTTTGGACACAATACACCAGTGAAACAGTGGGGAAATATGTGATTAAAATGATTGAGGTTTACATTACAAATTTACATTGAAATTTATGTTATAGCCTACTATTTTTTTAATAAAATGATATATGACTCCATAAAAATTGTAATGTATAAAGGTACTTCAAGTTTATGTTGGAAATATGGAAAACATGAAGGGTTATTTTATCATGCCTGATGGACTTGTAAAAAAAGTTAGAAATTTCTGGTTTCAAATATACCCGTGTTTTCTCCAAAATAAAACCTACCCAGAATATAAGCCCTAGCTTGATTTTGGGGGATGGGCTTAATATAAGCCTTACCCCCAAAATAAGCCCTAGTTTTGGGGTGAGGCACATGCCTAAAAATCAAGTTAGGGTAGGGGTGGAGCTTACCATTGCAGCCAGGTCTCCCATGCATCGACACTTGCCTCCCCGGCCCACTTCTTCTGTGGCTGAAGAAGCAGCTTCATTCTGCAACTGAAATGGAGTTTGGACCTGCATTTTGCAGTCAAAAGCCTTTCTGGAAGGTCTGTGCAGCCGAGACCTGAGCTATGGGTTGGATCTGTAGCTCGGTTCTTGGCTGCATAGGCCTTCCAGAAAGGCCTTTGACTGTGAAATGCAGAACAGAGCTCCATTCTCAGCTGCATCATGAAGCTGCTACTTTGGCTGCAGAAGAAGTGGGCCAGCTGGGCAGGGCTGTTGATGCCGCCGCCGTGAGGTGAGTGGCAAAGACACCCCCTCCCAAAAGTAAGACCTGGTACCTATTTTGGAGACAATAAAATAAAATAAAATAAGACCAGGTCTTATTTTTGGGAAAACACAGTATATATAACGATACAAAGATCAACATTCAAATGAAATCAGAATTTTTCTTGCTGGGATTAAAGGACACTCAATTAGAAAAGAGCCATGGAAGTTTTTTCTTAAATATGATTACTGCTGCAAGATTATTATATCAGCAGAAATGGAAAGACTTTGAAATAACACAAGGGGGAATGGTTGGTGAACTAGCATAGAGGGCAATGTAAACTTGTTTGATTAAAAAAATATCAACAAGTACATTTATCAGTGACTGGAAACACCTTGGACTTTTTGCTGAAAGAAGAGAAAAATGAATTTGTGATTTATGAATTTGAAGATTAGAAAGGGTAGCTTATAAAAAAAAGGAAATTATGATGTAACCTTAAAGAGAGGGGGTAAAATATAAATGCATTTATAACCTCTGTCAAAATGAACAGAAGCCATTTCTTTATATATTTTTTCTTTCTTTTCTATTTTCTTTCTTCTTACTCATTTTTTATTTTCTTTGCCTCTTTTCTAATATCTGCACTGTTTTTATCTTGTTAAGAATCTCTTCAATAAAAATTATATATATTTTTTAAAAAGTGCTTTTTTCTTTGATGACATTTTCCCAGGTCTAGCATATTTTCTGTGTACTATCTATCCCTTTTGGAACCAAGATTCATTATGCCAACAGCTCTCTTCAATAACATTCTAGCACAATGGCCTGCTGTTTCTTTAGTTTTGAAGAACAGATTTGTAGAGCTGACCAAGTGAACCATGTCTTTTGAATGAGTAAACTGACAGGTTTCCAATGAATTCCACAAAGCTTTGCTGTTTGCTATTCAGAGAGAACCCATATGAACAATTCTGTTTCCATTGAAAAAGTTGTTGTTGCTGTTGATTGCATTTTATTTTGCTAAAGATGCAATGTCACACACATTTAAATATGTGCCCTTGTTACATGATCACAAGTGATTGAAAGCTGTTCATTAGTAATCAGATACATGATTATTTGTCTCAATGACACAGATGTGAAAATTGCTGCATTCCTTGGCTCTGTTCAGAAGTTCATTTTCATCATATAAAAGGGAGAATGAGGCTGGGTTTCCTGCTCATCACTCATTATACATATAGTTTTTACAATTATCTAGGATTTATATTGCACGGAGAACATATACTCATAGTGGATTCTACTTTTGAGAAGAGCTGCCCATCCATCTTCTCATTCCAAATTGAGGAAGCCAGAAAGAATGAGTGCTAGTTTTTGACTATCCCATAAGATCTCGTAAGATCCCTTCTGAAAACAGTGCCATCTCATTGGACCTAGAAAATGTGGCTTTCTGTCACGATGCCTGCCTGTAGAACAGCTTCTCCCTGAGATTTGAACGGCCCTGACTTGGTTGGCCTTCTAGAAGCCCTTAAAAATCTGATTCTTCCTTAAGGCTCTAGAGTCCAGATGATAAAGGAGTCCAACTTCTTCGTATTGCTTTTGTAAGTATGTTTCACTTTTTAATGCTTTGATAGCTGACTGTGTAAATTAGCAGAATGAATGAATGAATGAATGAGTGAATGAATGAATGAATGCTACCATAGCTAGGCTGAAAAATCTAGAAAACCACTCAATGGCAGTAAAAAATTTCTGCATCCCTTCCCTGCTGTCTAGCGGTCATCTGGATCTTTTCAGTACAGGTATAGTGACCATAGGAAGAGGGTAAGATTGAATGAATTCCCTTCCCTTGATGCTTTGTATAGCTGCATGAGGGAAAAAAGGGCTCTTTCATTTTTTTGCAAGCTATAAAGGGGCTTGTTCTCCTTTTATGATGCTACAGGGATGGCAGTATACAACTTGTTCTTTTGATTATTATTATTTCCTGTTCTAACTTTGATTGGTCTCCTTAAAATGGGGGAGCAATTGACTCCCTGTTTCAAACACTGTTAGGTTGCTTATGCATCAAAACTTTAACACACTTTCTCAAACTCTGTAGATAATTCTCTTAAACTTTCTTTTTCTTCACAGAAATAAGAAAGGATTTGGTGAAGTCTTTAATATTTAATTTTGTCATGGGAGATACAGTCATAGTGCAGATTTTCGCAAATTTGTAAACTTTTCCCTAGAATAATCAGGAAATATTGCTAGTTGAGAGGGGAAGGCACAGAATGGTAACCATTGGCTACTTTCAAGCAATACTTCAGAGGAACAATGTCTGCTACTGCTTCTATCTATCAATAGCAATTTTGGACAGTGCTGCTACCAGAGGTAAACCTCGTTCCACAAACCTTTTGAAGAGATTCTGTACCCTCTGAAAAAAAGATCCATTAACCTGCATGCATAGTAGTAAAAGGAGTGGAACAGAGACAGTTATTTTTATAAAAAGAACAAAGTGTAAGGAAAGAAAACAGAGTGAAACATGAATCTAAGCCTGCTAATAAAGAGTAAAACTAAAGAGGATGTCAAGACTTTGAAATTTGGAAGCAGAATGGAGTATTCAGTGTATTCAAGCTTCAAGCAAATGACTCCAAACTCATTCTTTCACCTTTGACATTTCTTAGCTCCTAGGAGGACCTCATGGCATTAGTTACTACCTGTGGCTGCATTTTCTTGACAGCAATTGGAGTTGCATTGGTCTCGGAGTATAGACACCTCCCTTTCCAGCATCTCAATCCTGCTCAGCAGCTCCTGTATGTCCCGGGAGGAGGCGGCACACTTGCAAGTCTGTTTGGGGAGGTTTATCTTGTGGGTGAAGGTGACCTGGCTCTCACTGTCTGAGGTCTGCTCGGTGTATTCCGTCATCCGGTCATCTTCCGAACTCACCTCTGGGTCAGATGAAGCCTCTAGGGATGAGGAGCAGAGGCTGTCCAGAGGCACATTAATGTTGTATATGTGGCTGAAGACCATGGGTTGCTCTTTGACAGGGGATGTGTAGTTAGCAAAGCTGCCTTCTTCATCAGTCACCTGTTTTTTAACTCTCTCTGTCATCACTTCCAGGCGGCATTCAAAGGGTCTGAAGATGGCCAACAGCATTACATTGAGGCTAACCACCACATTTCTTAGGATCACATTTTTGCCATCTGCCCTCATTTTCTTGAGAAAGACAGGAAACTTCTACGCCAGCCTTGGGAAGCGCGGAAGGAAGACCTGCAATGAAGCACAGCAACATATTGTTACAAGTAGCTCCTAAGAAAATCTGGTGACAAAGATCAGGATAGCATTTCTATGCATGGGAATAACACTGCATAGGATAAGGTAGAAAGGTACAAGCTAGCCTGCCACAGGCATCCATTTGCAATCCATCCCAATCAAAATACTTTTCTAATCTATAGTAAAAGAAAGGGCGACTGAACTCTTGCAACCACTATTGTTTGTGATTTTTTCCCATTTGCAAAGTGCTTCATAATCTCAAGACTGTGTGGAACCTTCCCATCTGGTTAAACCAGAGAGCTGCTCTGCCTTTATACAGAGTCAGTCTCTGAGCTGCCGGTGCTGAGTAGTTTTCTTGTCCTGCCTTTCTTCAGTCAGGACAAACACCACCTGAATCTGAGGCTGTCTGAGGAAAAGATGTCTGAGCTATGCCAGATTCTCTCAACCATAGCTCTAGCGCAATCTCTCGGTCCCTATTGCATGCTGAAATACTTATTTGCGTGCGAATGCAGGTTCTCGCACTTTGGCCTTACTTTAGTTTTTTCCAAACTTTTGTGAACTTCCCAGTGCTCAGTTTTAGGCTATCAACTCTCTGGCCCAGCAACCTCTTGCTTGATTCTTGGTCTTTAAAATTAAAAAAATTAATTGCTCAAAATAATTACTGCAGTAATTATAATTGTTAAGTACCATGACAATCTGGAGAAGCATCTGGAGTGGCAATATTAATTGGCTGAGAACTGTTTTCTACAGTGCTATGTAATGCCATTGGAAGGAGCCCATTGATTTATGCCTATTGGATCTGAGCAGTTTCTTTAGCTATGTTGGAAAGACATTTGTAGTTTTTCAGCTTAGCTGACTGGTTCTAATGAGATGGGTACAGTCCACATCAGAAGGAGGAATACTTCCTTATCCCTCTAAAACATTTATTCTGCACATATTGATTGGCATTGGGGGAAAAAAAGAATGAAGTATTAAAATACCGATAGTGATTATTTCAAGTATGCCTTCATCTCAGTCCGTGTAAAGTTCTCCAGAAATGCAGAGCTAGTTTAAGGCTGCTGCCTTAGATATAATTAAAAGACCCTGCACAATATTTAGTTTATTTACGTTTCTGCTTAAGAGACACAAATATTACAAGTTGCTTATTACAAGTCATTTCACCTCCCACTTGCACACAGAATGATTTGTAAAGTACCTTTATCTACATCAGGGCAACTTTCCATTCTGGTATTGATTTGCACCCCTGGGAGTTAAATCCAAACTCCAAGGGCCAAATTCATCCTGTAAGGAAAGCTATTTTCTTCGAAGTAGTTAGACCAAATCTATACTTTGTCCAGCAGGGTTTTTCTTTGTTGATTGAAACTAGGTAGATGGGGGCTGGGAAAGCTATGCATTGATCAACATTTCACTCTAATACCCCTTGCTTTAAAGAACTGTGGCAGAGTCTCTGCAGCAAACAGGCAGGCAAAGTTGTGATTCCATGCCAAACGAGCCTCATTATTCAAAGCACAGCACTGGGATCAGGGGACTGCTTCATGCTTTTCTGCTGCTGGAAAATTTGTCTTGCTTTTAATTTTCACTGGACACCTGTACAATTTGAATGTAACTTGCTTGCTTACTTGTTTATTTATTTTTTATATATTTATCCATTCATTCATCAAGTTTATATGGCCGCCTATCTCACAAAAACTCTAGGTGGTGTAGAATAAAACTATAAAATAGTTAACAAATTTATTTAAAAATAAAAATACACAAAGGCTAAGAGAGGACAGCAGATGTTAAGAATGATGGAGCCACCTCAGTACTTTGATGGTTCTCTGAGGCTCCCAGGCATAACCAGGATTTGAGAGACTTCCAAAAAATCAAAAGAGGTGAAGCCAGCCTCATTTCGGCGGTGGGGGGGGGAGGAGATATTTTATAAGGCGAGTGACACAGAATGCCTGCCTTCTGGACTCATCAAATGTGAGTCCCTGGCAGATGATATCTGCAACATGCCTTCTCTGCCAGATGGAATGGGCTGATGTAACCAGGAAGAGGCAGTCCCTCAAATAATCCAGCCCCAGGAGAGCTTTAAAAACAAAACCTAGTACCCTGAATTGGACCCAGAAGAGCCTGGCAACTAATGCAACTTGTGTGCTGTTCTAGAATTACACACAACTGCCCATGTCTCTGTATTTTGCACCAGCTGAAGCTTCTGAATACTCTTCAATATAGAGCATCTTACAGTAGTCCAACTGGAAAGTAATCGGGGCACAAGAGACTCGGAGCAGAGCTTCCCAGTTCAGAAACAGATGCAACTGGCACATAGTACAAAGCTGGGCAAAGACTTTTAAAGAAAAGTAGCTTAGAAATGGGTGTTGAATTTTCAAGTTTGGGTTTCCTGGCATAATTTCATATTCCAGCTACTTAATGGCAGCTGTTTGATTCTGGTTTGGTCATTGTCATAATTATTCTTGTATTTTTCTCTTTTTGTTTGAAAATTAAAAATTCAGAATACTTTTGCCATCTCCCCAACCTATTCTTGTCTTGACCACAGCCTTTGTGGAATAGTCTAGAGCAGGGGTGTCAAATTGCTGGCCTGCTTGCTGATTGCATCATACAGAGATTGTGCTCACCCCACATATGTTGCGACACGTCACGTGACGTGGCAAGTTTGACACCTATGGTCTAGAGCCAACTTGAAATTTCTCCACCTAACCTTGTTTTTCTGGAGTTCATTTATTTTTTAATGATACAAAGGAAGAGCTGGGGCAAAATTGTCCACGAGCAATAAACAATTGGATAGGAGATTAAACAAATATTTCAATCTCCCCATTATGATAAATTGTACAACATTTAAGTTGCAATAATTCTCCCCCCTCTCTGTCACACACACAGAACGAGAGAGAGAGAGAGAGAGAGTGAGAGAGAGAGAGAGAGAGAGAGAGAGAGAGAGAGAGAGAGAGAGAATAACATGTAAATTAAAATGTAAATTAAAATTTTCCTTTTACACTTATGTATTTTCTTTTGGGACTACTCATGTGGCAGTGTGCTATAGTATAAGATGTTTCCACAAAACTGGAATAAGAATAATTCAGATAACATACACTCAAGTTTAGCCAGTGCTTGCTATATATTCTTCCCTCCATGAATTCAGTAATGGATATTTAGTCTCATATTTTTATTATGTCTCTTTCCATTTCCCAGCTGAAAATAGGAACTCTTAATCCAAGCCCCATTTTAAAGCTCACAGTCTAATTCCTATCCTTTATGTCTTTTCTGCCTATTACTGCTATAATCATTTATTTAGTACTGATTGCCCTGTGCTTATGTTAAAAATAGGCATTTGTTCTTAAGACATATTGGAGAGGTGTGATATGGAACAACATTATTATCCTAATATAGGTTTTATCTATGATAAAAAAATCTAACTCAGTTTCAATAATGTGAAATAGCTATAAAATAGCTATGCATTTTATATAGTAGTTTACACTTATTTCCAACTTACGCTCAAAATAAGTATTTATTTACATAAATTGATAATAGCTGTCTAGAAGCAAGAAACCAAGTCCCGGCTACAAAAATCAGAACCACCACCAGATGGCAGCAGAGATAGATTTTTCTGCCTTATATAGGCTACTCAGATTTGTTCCAGATCTGATAGCTTCAGGATTTATCTTCATACTATGCTACTTCAACACAAAGATGTCCTGCTAAGACATATCTTCCTGATGCTGGTTTTTCCTTAACCCTAATCCATTGCAGAGAGGGCAATCTTAATTTATCTTCAACTATTTCAGCTTAAAAGTAGAATATTCCCCTATTCTGCCTCAGAAGCTTATCATATGGACCCATGGTAGCTCCTCAAGAGGACTGCAATTTATTTATTTATTAATCAAATTTATGTAGCCGGCCATCCCCGCTAAGACAACTCTGGATGGCACAAAACAAAACAAAACAAACTTCAAACTGAGGCTGAAATGTCTTATTAGCTATTTTAGGTTATTATAGGTCTTTACCCCTTTTCTGTTTTCTGAGCACTCTTCTCCGTATGGAAAGGGTAAGGCTTCACTCTCTTTGGCTAAAAGATGCCCTATTTTGGTGTGAAACACAAAAGTGACACATCATGGGTCAATTTTATTATATCAGATGGGCATCTCTAATTTAGTCTATTTCTGATCAAAATTCTTCCATGAATGTACATTGGTACATATGTTTATGTAAGTGTGTGTATAGACTTATATTTATAAATCTATAAATTATAAATAAAATATAAATCTACAAATTATAAGTATAGCTTATATTCAGTGCTTTTTTGGTAAATAAATAAAAAAAAGGTGCCGGAACTCACACACGTCATACAATCCGCCTTGCCTACCCTACAAGGTTCCATCCAAAAAGGTGCTGGAACTCTGTTCTGAGCGTTCTATGACAAAAAAAACCCCTGCTTATACTTACAAATCTATTATACTTATAATTAAATATTATATTATATATCGATATTGATAGATGATAGATAGATAGATAGATAGATAGATAGATAGATAGATAGATAGATAGATAGATAGGAGAGTGGAGGGAGTGTCAGCAGTCAACATACTGGATGGAGAAAAATGTGGCATGTGCCACAAAGACTGATTTTTGCCTTTCTAAAAATTAACACCTCATGAGGAGAGTTCATGGAGCTGAGCAGCAAAATAGATGATGGTTATAGACTGTATAATTATTATTGCAATCACATTTTATTCTGCAGCACTTTCTTTAGTGGGGTTCTATCTGTGATGTCTTTTTTTTCTAAATAGTCAAAGTCATAGCTCTTGCTTTAGTTTAAACCCATTACCATTTTTTTTCTCATTTTCAGTTGATCCAACTTTCTCTTCTCTATGTTAGACATATTGATAAATTTTACACAACCTTATGGATTCCTCAAGGGGATTTAAAAAAAAATATTAACAGCAGAATTCCTGTTTTCCAGGGAATGTTTCAGATTCAAGAAAAAGTTAAGATGAGCTTCTCTG